CTCTCTGGAAAGGGTCTGTGAACCACTCCCCCCAAGTGCCCTGAAATGGAAAGAGTTTCTTACATGGAAGGGACAGTGGTATGTTTGGGTGTGCAGTTTCCTTGGATTTTCAGACAGTTTCCCTTGCAGCTGCTGCCCTCTCCAGGAAACCTCTCATCTGTTCCATTTTTACTGGTTTTTTTCCCCAAAAATGAAACAACTTCCTGGTAAAGAAAAGGAGCATGGACAGAGTTTGTGGTTCTGCCCAGGTCCAACATGGCCAGCAGTGCCAGGGGCTGCCTTCCCACATGGAGCCACTGGGAAGGAGGATGGCATCGGGATGTGGGGTTGCAGCCCCAGGGCATCCCACTGACACGGTTCGGTGTGTCAAGGAAAGGAGCAGTCCAGCTCCAGGGTTTGTTGCTCTTCAGTGAGATGATTATGCGAAGAAGCAACCGGCCAGCCTAAGCTCACACACTCTCGCTCACTCACGCAGCTCAGTAGTGAGAGGCAAGGAGACAAGATAGGTGTGCAACAGAGGGCAGCACAAGGCTGAACTAACTTTATTAACAAAATGGAGGCTTTTATAGGGGTAGGTAGGGAGGGAAAATACTGGAAGGAAGATGGAGCATGCAAATCCACTCACAAGGATAGGTAGGGAATACATGCATATGCATGAGGAATAGCACAGCAACAGGGCAGAACAAGGATTGGTCGAGCTGCTGTGGTGCCATGAACCGTCCAATCCCAGCTGACACTGGCTCCTTGGCCCGTAGTCCATGGCAACCCCTTGCAACATGGTGACAGTTGAAGCTTCAACTCCACGATGATATTTAGCCTAGAAATCACTTACATTACGAAACTGTTTAACGACCACAAGGATGTTGTTTACAAGATAAAAATTACCAAACCCATCTCCATCATCCCACCTCCAGGGGAATCCTTCCCAAATCCACGTGTTCCATGGTGGCACTCCAGGGTGCTCCGACCCCAACCCTGCTGGCGCTGGGGGAAGGTCTCCCACCGGCATCACCACCAGCTGCTGCCCGCTTTGCTCCCCTGCTCGCCTCCCGAAAACACGAGAGAATTGGGAATGGGAGCAAGAGGTGAGGACAGTGCTCCTCTCGGATGTCCGAACGTCAGTGTGACGCTGGCACGGAGCTGACAGCAACCAGGAGCCGTCGGGATCGATGAGGCCGGTGGGGATGGAGAGGGATGCGAGGGAGTTTGCGGGGAAAAGCGATGCCTGAGGCGGAAGAGCAGCGGTGTCATGGCCTGGAGCCCTCGTCCCAAAGCAAACACAAACACCCCTTAGTGTTAGTTTTCCATAGACAAGCCCTTTCATGGATCACGGATTTACACCACTCTTCCTTTCCACCAAAGCATCGAGGGGCTGAGCATCCCGATTCCTTCCTTGTTCCAACCCACAGGTGGTGGGAGCACCTCTGGGCGACCCTGGCACACTTGGAACAGGCTTGCACGGGGCATCCCAACTTTAGAGTGAGGTGGTGCAGCTCTTGAGCACAGCTTGGGGAAACTGTCCACATGAGGAATAAATGGTTTGGGGAATGGAGTTTGGGACAGTGCTGGGCATGGGAGGTGGGGAGAAGTGCTGGGGTCAGGCTTTGTGACCTCGAGTGAGGATGATTGTGGAAACCAAATTCATCCTGTCAGCAAGCCAAGGTTTGCTGAAAATGAGTCCCCTCCTTAGGGTTAACTTTGCCCTAAACCTGTGAGGTTACATCTGTGGCCCCAGTACTTGAGAAGATCTGGTGACAATCTCTCCATTTTCCATCAATTCCTTTGTCTCAAACTGGGCTGCAAACATGTTCAACCCCTCTCCAGTCAGAAATAGGGCTCATGAGC